TCTCTCTGCGAAACAACAATCGCTGCACGCACTGCTGCACCCCTCCGCCGCTGAAAAACAAGTTTCTTTTTTCATCCCTCTGAAAAGCGCTAGGCCTCTTTTCTGCCTACCGGTCATTTCTTTTGTGCGCCTATGAAAGCGATTTTTCGTGTCCAAAACTCGCCCTGGCCCATCTTTGCTGCGCTGCGTGCAGCCTACGAGAGAGGCTCAAAGATGCTTTCCCAATGATTGAAACTGAAAAATATATTTCATTTAAATCAAATAATATTTTGCTATATTTGATGTGGCCCAATTTATAGAATAAATTTCACAGATTGATGTTTGTTCTTTTTTCCAATTGTTCATAAATAAATTTATCTTTGTTAGTGCTAAATTGAAAAACTAGGGCATTTTAATAAGTTCAGATGCACAATAAACAAAAATAAGCAGATTTGATGAGGAAAATTTTTCCTAAATGATGCATTGCTTTACTCTGTAAAAAAATCAATAAGAAGATTATTTAGAAATTTGCATTTTTTTATTATTCCGTTTCAGGAATTTTTGGTGAAATAGAGGCACCATTATTGTTGGTTATGAATGAGCTGGAATAAGTGGCATGTTGTTAATTGCTAATTTTAGGTGCATATAATGCAAGTAGTGTTCCAGAAGTTTGTTTTGGGGAGAAAATTTTTCAAATTGGCAGTTTTCCTGCGAAAATAAGTGATTTAATAAGGAATTTTATTAATAAAAACAGGTGAAAAGACTCAATAATATTTTAGCTCTAAATACTTTGGCTATTTAATTAACCATGACATGCTTTCCCTCCCTTATAAGTTAAATATCATCTATAGAACTAAGAAAATCTAAGTTTGATTTTCTTTCATTTAGAATAAGCAAGTATTTTTATTTTCTATTTTTATCGATTGGTTTAAAACGAAACGAAGAATTTAGTTTGTAATATTTGTAGCTCTCTACATTCAGCTTGCACTTCTTGTTGCAAAGAAAGCATCGAGGCGCAAAAGAGCGTTTGGAGAAACGGCCACCCGACAACAACCCTTCCTTTCCAGCTCCTCATTCTGCTGACCAGTCGAAATCCCACCGAGTGTCCAGCATTATTTTTCATCTCAAAAGAAAATAACATACAATATTATTTTCGTGCGTATACCTGGGCGCAGCGTGCATTCCTCGCGCCCGCTCTCTGTGCGAAGAGTGACAGCTCCAATCCCCACGAAACCAACCGCAAGGAAAATAATTGTTCTCAACAGGTATAAATGCGGCTCAGGGTTTCTTCTTTATGCAGGTTGTAAATTTTGGCCCAGCATTTCTCGGAAAAGCGGCCTGTTGTTTGGCACTGCACAAGGTTTAATAGGTAGTCCACGATTGAAGTTCGCGCGAACGAACTTCGCTGAGCGAACAGGGAACTTCGCGCGAACTTTTTTTTCGTTCGCTTGAAGCGTCCACGATTGAAATACAATATTCGCGCGAAGTTACGTCACTAATACGTCACAAGTACCTAATAAATAAATTGATTTAAATTTAAAAAAATTTAAATTTATCTTGTTAAGTTAAAAAAACCATATATTTGAGAACTGACCAAAAAATTTAATTGAAAATTCAGCAAAAAAATGTAAATAAATAAAAATATAATATTTAATTTTCATGCGTTTTTTTATAGTAATTTACAAGAGTACTATAAAATGTCAATAACTTTAATATTAAATTTTTTTCAATGGTTACAAAACAGCTAAAATATTGAAAATTAATCAATTGTTGGGAGGAAAATATTGAATTGTTAAGGCACCACCACCACAAAGAATTTTGCTAAAACTTCCATCCACCAAAATGAGTCCACTTAGAAATTAGAAAAATAATTATTCATCAAATTTTGAAAACGATTTTCTCAATACAATAGAATTGATATTAATAAAAATTGCAAAAATAAAACAGCGATGATAGACATTTTAGATTAATTAGCTTTCGTTTAAATTTCTTAAAAATAGTTTAGGGTAATGTAGAATTAAATTAAATTTTATAATCTCAATTGATCAATCTAATTAAAAATATCAATGTATCAATATATTTAAAACAAAAATTTTTTGTCTTTAAAACAATGAAGTTAATTTCTATGAAAATGAAGTTATAAGGTACCAAAAATGTAATCAAAATATATTGAAATGAGATAAATAAATTAATTAATTTGGCTTTAAAATTAAAATTTTCCTGTAAAATAAAAAAAAACGAAATTGAGATCTGGCAAAAAATCTAAATAATTAAAAAAAAAATAACTTCGTGAGCTTTTTTATTATTTTAATTTTTATGAAAAGCACGCATGCGCAAGATTTTTCGCTCGACGCGGGTCTGGCGAAGTTCGCCAGAGTAGAGCTCGATTCAACTCCAGCGAACTTCGCGCGAGTCGCGCGAACTGAGAAATTTCGCCCAGCGAACTGATCGTGGACGCTTTATGGGCCACACATGTTATTAACTTTGTTCGTTCGCGCGACTTTTCAATCGTGGACTACCTATAAGAGGAGAAAAATTTTCCACACTTCATGCAAGTTTTATTTTCAATTTTGAAAAAGGCCTAGGATCCTTTTACAATGTTTTGAAAAATATAAACATGTGAAACTGAAATTAATTATTATATTTATTGACTTTTTGTTATTACATTTAAATAAATATATAATTATATTTTAGGATTATTCATAATTAATTTCTTATTTATTTAACTAGAATAATAATAAACGTTGGCCAAAACTTTTATTTCAATGCTAATTTAATGTTACAAATAAATTATTGTTCCGGTGCCCATACATGACATAATCATTAGAATTATCATTAAATGAGAACAAGGATTGTATATTCGCGAATATTAGTCATATTGCTTAATACATAATGTAAAAATACAATGCAGTTCAAAACAGGATATTTTATTTGTATCAGAAAACATAGCTCTGATATATTCCAGAACCTATAATAAAAATGAAAATATGGTTGTTACAATTTTGCATTTGATTGGTATTTTTTGTAATTCATAATACAATGCAAAAATTAATTCCAAACGCTCAAAATTTCACATTTTTAATTTTACAGATCCCATCTTTACATTTCCTTCGATAAATCTAGTTTTTTCGGAAAATAAATTAAGATACCAAATTTTTTAATTGGATTCCATGAGAATTGAAAGCCGAGCTTTCTTGTTGCGCATTATTTCACTTTACTTTGTAACAAGGAAGCTCAATTTCAATTTCCCTCCAAACATTTCAGTTAATTATCATATTTAGTTATTTTACAACCAAGAATTCATTAAAAAAATAAATCTTGATCAAAACAAATTTATTTTTACTAACGTTAAAAACGCTTTTGAGGCACAAATTTATCTACTTCTGCTTGTCATGTGGTTTGAATCAGTTTGGATTCAGACCTGTGATCTATTTTGTTGGACGCTTATCCTTTCGCTGTCATTGCTTTCGACACACGCGGGTATATTATTTGAGAAGGAAAACCAAGATTAGCTCTCGCGGGGATATTACAAATACAGCAGGCAGTCGATGGCTGCTGCCGTATTATATAAAAGATCGCTTTTTTTTGCAGCACGCACATTTTATTTATACGAATAAACACGAGCGAGTGAGAAAAATAAGAACCTCGGCTGCTGTTTTGTCGCCGAGAATGGGTGCCGATTCAGCGAGGATGTGATGCTGATAAAGAGAGGGGAAATAAAAGTCACACAGATTTGTGCCAATGTTTGACAATATCGGATATTGAAAATATTGATAAAACTCGAATATTTAAATTTCTATTATTTTAAATCCACCTTTAGGATACAGAACTAGCTGAAATTATATTTTACTTGTATTCAACAAGCTCGTGTCAGGAATTTTAAAAAAAATTAGCTATTATTTTTGAACATTATAGATTTTTAAATAAATTTAATTAATTAATATTTGATTTAAATTAGTTGTTGTTATTTATTTAAAAAATATATGTACATAATTATAACAAATAAATAAAAATTAAAAAAATGCAAAACAATTATTTAAATAAAAAATTAAAATGAAATGGTAGTTTTTAATTATATTTTGTAATTTCTTTTCATTTATTTTTTTTTTACTAATATTTGTGCGTTCAAATAGATTTCTGAAAGTAACACAAATATAAAAATTTAGTAAATTAACATATTTTTTGAAATAAAATTAAAGCTTTTTGGTTAGTTTTCAGATAATACAATAGTTTTTGGAGTTTAAAATATTTATAGCTCAAGGAATAAATTTTTTTTTTCAAAATAAATAAACATACTGCATTTTGATGTTTTGGTGCTCAGCTTGCGCGACAATTTGTTGATTGGATCTGGAATAACCGCTAAATTTATTGCCCAGCATCATTTCTGCTCATTTCTCTTGCATGTTTGTCCATAAATTTGGGTAAAAGTATACGGGGCCAGCTGCGAAACCGCAGAGCGCGTCGGCGTCGGCGGCAGCCAGAGTGGGACATAAAAAATTCAAAAGCGGCGCCGGCAATTCAAGGAAACGCTAATGATCGCGTAATGAAAATAAATTGGCTCGCTAGTCCATCCTGCGAGGGAAATAATGAGACCGAGGGCTGAAAACGCACCCCCGTCTCTGAATCTATCAAATATTGATTCGCGCCGCTGGGTAATTTGGCCCGCCGAAATCTTGACGTATTTTTCACATAAGAAAAAGGGCACGACCGGAGAAATAAAGAGAGACCCGGCGTGCTCTTGTGACCACAAGAAAAATGAACTGTGACCCAAACAGCATTCAATTTACGTCATGCATTGTGTGAGTTATTGCCTTGGCGCCTCAGTTCTTTTCAGAGGGAATTTTTCAAAACATAACTCATTTGCTTATTCTTCTCCTAAGGAGATGAAAGTTTTCAAAATATTGATAAAACTGATTGAAGAATTACTTTTTTGATTATGGATTAATTTAACATAATTGTGTAAATAATTCATAATATTAATTATTGTGAAAAGTAACAAATTTTTTTATCTTTGCTTGCAGCTCGAGTTGAAAAAGAAACTGACAATGTGGAGAAGTCGCAGGAAACGGCAAATCATCCTCATTCTGCTTCCTCAGGCACGGCCACCAATGCAACTATTAGTAAAGGTAGGGAACATTCATTTATTATATTTAGAGATGAGTCAATTATTGCATCTTTCCAAATAAGTAAACAAACTTCAGCAAGAAAAATGAATGCCAAAATTTATAAATTAATTTTTGCATTTTATGGCGATTCATGAGTTTTATTTTCAACAGTAGAAAATCTTAGTTAAATTATTTTTTAGCAATCCATCATTTTCAATTTTGCAATTTAAATATGGTTTGTTTTCTAATTTTACGAAATATTTTTTTTTTTATTCCGTGCATAAAATTGAATGCTGCGCTCACAACTATTACACTGTAAAAAATGGGATGCTCGATTTTACGTATTTGGTAAGCAAACTCGTTTTCTGCTGAAAGACGTAAAAGTACGTCTCCTCTCCAAAGGGTATTTTACCTGAGCGCGCGTACTTTTGCGCCTCCCCTCCCGTAGATACATTTTACGGATTTGTTACAGAAAATTTCTCCCTTAGCACAGAATATTGCGTACTGTGTCCGTATTTTTGTTTTACTTCTTTTATATGTAATTTTATGGTATTTTTACAGAAAATCACTCATTTTATTTTTGCTTTTAAAGGTTACTTTTATTGCAAAGAAATTAAATTCACAGATTTACAGAGTACTCACACTAATACAAAAATTAATGATCAAGTCAATAAAGCTCTAGAAGTGTCCCAGATGCTGTTTTGAGCCGGGTCTCCATATCTTTGCTGATCCATCTCGCGCGTCAACAGGAAAACATTGTCTGGAAGATCCAAATATCAAAATAAGCAAAAGAAATTCAGTCTTGAATAATTAATAAATACCTCTTTTTAACAACCCAGACGCAATTTCAGTCTCGGTGTAGTTCAACAGCAGGCGTTTCAACTCCATTCTGGAAACAAGTTAATTTTTAATGGCATGATATTTAAAAAAAAGTTATTTAAAATCTCATATTTCCTTCAAATAAAAATAAATTCACAAAACTTACATTTTTTTTACGCTCTCCATGAGCCATCCGGGCTCTCCAACTTGAAATCGAGCGGCCGCGATCCCCTAATTGTCCATAATTTTGTGAAATGCTGTGCCTGATGCAGTAAATAAGAAGTGTTCTTTGTGGCGAAAGACGCTAAACTGATTGCTGCCGAGGCGCCGAGGGTTGAATTTTGTCGGTTGCTGGCGTGGGTGATGACATGTTCAGCCTCTCTCCCTATTTTCTCCAGGTTGAGCACTGGCTTTCCTCCCCTGACATGCATTCACTCAGGTAAAAGTCCCATTGTGAGACGTAAAATTACGAATCTGTTACAAAGACTCGCGCTACATCCCAAATACGTAAAATCGTATTTCGATTTCATACGTAAAAGACTTTTACGACGCAAAGTACAGAAAATTCAGTCTGTCTGTATTATTTTTACTACAGATCTGCAGTGATTCGAACGTAAATTTCCGGATATTTTTTACAGTGTATCGTCCTCCGCATTTCATTGGAAAAGTCTATGTCAAGATAAGTGGTGGTGCATCATTAAAATTATTCTTTACTGAATGGAAAGCACATGAGTTTGGTCATCATGATATGATATTCCTCGCTCGGCAAACTCTTGAAATGCGGGTTGCGGAGTTCCGCGCATATGAATATTAAAACACGAAGAAAGAAACGTTTAGAATAAAAACACATCTCCTCTTTCTCGACCGCACATTACACGGATTTTCTCATCGCTCGACGGGGTGCGCAGCATTTTGTTTTTAAGAAGAAAAAATATATGTGCGTGTGCTAGGGGTGGAGAATTTTAATGACAGATGAATGCGAAAACAAAAAGAACGCGAGATTCACACAAAAGTCATGAGCCCCTGGCGGAAACACAACAATGTTGTGCGCCGACGAGTGCTCGGTGCGCGCTGATGATGAGAGAGATGTACGAACAAGCGAAAACACATGCATATCCGCGAAAATAATAAAATGCTTTTCTGATGATCTCGCTGCCAAATAATTATGAGGATGAAAAGTCGTTGCGCGCCAGTGATATATTATTATATTCGGAGACAGAGAGAGATGGAATACAAGGGAGAGAAAGGGCAGCCGAGAGAGGATTGTTTTCTGCCGCAGACTGGAGACTTTGCAACGGCAGTTGATATTATGTTATTTTTATGAAATTATTTTCTCGATTTTTACTGTTAATACTGATTTTAATTAAATAAAAAATCTGCCAAATAGTGAAATAGTCTCATATATTTTGAAAAATTCATATTTGTTAAATTTAATAGATTTCGTTTCACTTTAAATTGAATTATATTTATTTAATGACATTCAAAAGACTGACAATAGGATCTTACAGACGAAATTTGCACTTACAGCGACATAACAAAATAATGGGTAATGGCTGGCTATAAGTTTTATTTGTGCTCATTAAAAAAATAATTGTTTTTCTTTTCAATTAATACAACAATAAGCCTGCGCTCTTTACCTTATATTTTTTTGTTAGTTTTAAATATTAAAAAAAAAAGTTTAATACAATTTAAAAATAAAATTTTAAAATCAATATATAATAATAGTTATAAAGCATTAAAAATATTGAGTTGAAATAATAAATTTATTAAGTATTATTAACAATGTAAAAATAATTAGCAAAAGATATTGAATTGTACCCATGGTAAATAATAAATCATATTTTAATTTGGCTCTGTCTTTTGCTGAATTATAATTTAAATTAAATTACCACATCTGGCGTTTTCAATTTTCAAATCAGACTTTCTCTGCTTTCAAATTCAAGAATTTATTCATAAATCACATGCATTCTTCAATTTGTACTTACTTAAAATTCTCTCAACTTGTCGTCTTCAAGAATTAATCAAGTATATTATGTTACAACTGCGTTGTTACTCTCTCATTAAAAACATTGCTATTTGCTTTGATTTCAATGAAAATTTTGGTGTATACAATTTTTACGATCCCCTTTTGGGTACTGCAGAGCGGTCAATAGTTTTTGCGCAATTTTAATTTCTTCTATTTTTGCCTCACCAAATCTATGATATTTGAATTACATTGGAAGGTAAAATGGGGCAAAATCTTTCAAAAAAGGACGCTATTGTTGCCTGCATGTTATTATTTTTCAAAAGTTAATGAGCCTCCCAGAGAAAATGGGGTAAAAATATAAAATAAATAATATCCGTCCGTCGCCAACTTTTACTCAAATCGGGTCATCTCAATTACATTGAAGTGAATTTTATGATTTTCACAATTTTTTTTTTAAATTTTGATAGCATGAAGCATTAATTGATTTAATTTTGAATATTATTTGGGCAGATTTGCTGTAGATAAAAATCAAAATCATCCTTTGAATTAAAAAACATCGTCATTGCGCTCTATAAATCATGTTGGGAGTTAAATAAATAATAAAAAATATCTTTTCGTAAATAAAAAATGAGTCATTTAATAAAATTTTAATTAGTTTCAATCTCATTGCACGACGAAATTAAATTCGGCTGGTTGTATTGCACGCGAAATACGTGCACCGGCATAAAAAAAAGTACAATAATATCGGTGCGAAAAAATCGTCGGTGCCGTGCGCCGTGTGTTTCGGCTGTGTGAAATTGCCGCCGCCGCTGGTGGTGTGTGTCCTCAGCCCCTTCCACGCGAGTCTCAGGTGGATCCTCGCCGGCGAAGCCCTGCCCCCCGCCCACCGAGCGCCCCCGAGCGCGGTCGGAGGGGCGCGAAGCGGCGGCCGAGGAACGTGCGTTTGTTGTATGGTGGCTCGGCGAAGCAAGGTTCCCAAAGTAGTAGACAACAGCTCAAATTCAAGCAGGTTGCGTGCCTGCCATTCGAAACTCCGAGAAGCAACCAAGACACAGACCCACGGCCCATGAGGCCCAACCGTCCGTGAACCTGCTTCGGCCCTTCCGCCGGAGTCGAGCAAAACACATTCGGACTGCTTTTCCGTTTTTGGTGCTACGATGGTGCTTTAGCCGGCAGAAACACTGGAGACGTTCACGACCGCGTTCACGCCGGCCAACCAGGCCCACCATGCCGTGCTGCCGGCCCAGGCGTGGTGGAGCTCGGCGGGCCCCGCCGGGGCCCCCGGCACCGTCGTCGAATCCTCAACCGGCGGCGCCGGACTCCTCGACCTTTGCTTCGTCACCACAGGTACAGACCAATTTCAATCTAATGAAAACTCTAAAATTTGACAAAAAGTTCCGTTTAATCAGGTTTAAATTTTACAAACGTTAGGCGCTTCTTTTAAAAGGGAAATTCTAAATTTGGGCAAAATTTCAAAATATACGAAAAATTCTAGATAACATCAAAATTTTAATTCAGCCCATTTTTTGTTTTAAATCTTTCTTATTTGGGAACATTTTTATCTCCGAAAATTGTCATTGTTTTTATTTTTTCACTTATTGCACTCGCTTTGATTTAATTCAATCATTGAATTTCCCAATTTTGCTAAGAAGATCTCAAAATTGAAGCTGAATTTAAATCTCAGATATAAATTAAAATACAAATCCAAATTAAAAAATGAAAACCGCGCAACTCACAATTTGGATTTTCCATTTTCCGACGCACTTCCTCCGAAAGCCATAATTATCATAAACAATAATTAAATCCGGCGGCCATGTGATTTCTGTGCGAGCGACGATTTGTGCGCAAATAATATATTAAAGCCGAAATGCCACACGGCGGTGAAAATCAATAAAAGCGACCGGCAGCGAGTTTCGCTGGAAAATTCCAAAAGTGCGGTCCTTTCTTTTTCTCTTTGTCCGCGGTTTTGTCTCTTCCGGGCGCGAGGCACACGAGTATGTAAAAGTTCCGTCCGGTTCTAGAAAGAATCGAGGATTGGGAGAAAAATTTAAGGGGCGCCTGCTGCAGCAAAGTGTGCGGGGCTGGCGGCTCGATTGCTGTTATCATGTGGAGCGCTACCCTCGGGCTTGGAGAGCTCTCGAAAAGCTGCCTCGCCTTGATAACTCCGCTACAAGGGCACTTCCTTTTCAAATTCCTCTGCTCAAATTATTTCAGCAGGCCGAGTGAGTGCACCGTG